CCTTTAGTTATGGAAAGAGGGTAAGAAGTTCCTTTTCGATTTGAAGTGAATTTTGCATTTTGTACACCCCAAATTATATATTTTTAAAATATATAGTAACTATATTTTATACGAAAATTGTAGGGTGTCTTAACATATTTTTCATATTTAAACAGTAAACTCAATAATTCACACGCGGAGATTACATTTCTGTCGCTTAAGTTTCACATTACCTCATATTTATGGCAATTGCTTAGAACATTTCTATGGAATTAAAATAGGGCCAAAGCTTTTATTTGCATGCTAAACATTTTTTTTTTTTATAGTCAATACTCTAAATTAATTTTCATCTCAATCAATACTCTTTATTATTTAAATCTCGTGAAAAACCAAAAAATTAATGATCAAACTCTCTATTTGCATCTTAATTTTGTAGTTAAAATCCTCAATTTACACCATCATTTTGTTAGTAATTTGAGATTTTTTACAAAATTTAAATTATAAAAAGTGTTAACTAAAACAAAAATTAGTTCAGGGTATCAAGCAAAAATTTACATCTACAAAACATGCAAATGGGGGCTTCCATCTTAAAAAGATTATAATTGCTTACATTAACCGGTCAACATTTTAATTAGCCTATTTAAGAAGATGGTACTGTCTCCTTCTTTTGCACCAGAAAAAGAGAAACCATAATGTTGATCGTATGGTTCCCTTCTCTGTTTTTCCTCCTCTTTCTTCTAATCCTTTCCATGTTTCTTCTCAAGAGCAAGAAGAAAAGCGTGAGAATGGGTTTCAAGCTCCCTCCAAGCCCTCCAAAACTCCTTATCATAGGTAACTTGCATCAAATGGGGAATTTACCTCACCAATCACTTCAAAATCTGTCCAAAAAACATGGTCCAATCCTGTTACTACAACTAGGTAGCATAGAGACTCTGGTGGTTTCTTCAGCTGAGGCAGCAAAAGATGTCCTCAAAATTCATGACCTCGATTGCTGCAGCCGGCCGCCTTCCCCTGGACCAAAGAGGCTCTCTTACAACTACCTAGACATAGCATTTGCGCCTTATGGGGATTATTGGAAGGAGATGAAGGCGCTTTTCATTTCCGAGCTTGTGAGCATGAAGAGAGTAAAATCCTTTGCTTACGCAAGAGAGGCTGAGGTTGATAAATTGATCAACACTTTATCACAAAATTCCCACAAGCCGGTCAATCTCAACGAGAAGCTGTATGGCCTAGCAGATGGTATCATCGGCACCGTGGCCTTTGGTAAGATATACGGAACAAATCAATTCAAGAGTGAAGAATTTCATTATCTTCTTGATGAGGCCATGGAAATACTGGCTGGCTTTGCTGCGGAAGACTTTTTTCCATCAATGGGAAGGCTTGTGGATGTTTTGACAGGACTCAAAGCTAGGCGCGAGAAGATCTTCAGGAGGCTCGACGCTTTCTTTGAATCAGTGCTTGACCAGCATCTTGATCCTACCAGGCCTAAACCCGAGCACGAAAATCTTGTTGATGTCCTAATTAGATTGCTGAAGGAGCAAAGTACCAGCTTCAGTTTCACAAAAGACCATGTTAAGGCAATACTCATGGTACGTTGTTTCTGCTTAATTTACTCCCTTTGAATTAATGTCTCCAAGTGTTTGCTTTTCATTTAGATACAGTCCATGTCTTTACAATGCTAAGCACTAATATAACAAAAATGTTAGTGTGTTGAGAACAAGTCTCTTAAGTTAGTTTTTAACAGTTGTGTGCTTGCAATTTATTTTTCCAAGTTTATTTTTCAGTTTCTTAACTCCATGTTCTGGTTAACTGTCATGTTTTAAGTTGCTGTTTTTTTCTGTAAAACAGTATGCACGCTTTAATGTTTTATGTTTTGCTGAGTTATACCAGAAAACTTAGTGCATGTTCTCCAATTCTCATGTACATCTTTATATCAATTCAAGTTGAATCTTGAGTTCATGTTTATTTTTCACTTATCCTGCATCTTAAGTTCTACAAAAAATGAACTAAACCTTTTCTTCGGCACTGATGTCTCTAGATAATTTCAACCCCTTTTGTCATGTTTCATCCTTAGTAATAAGATTTTTATTTCTAATTTACTTTTCAGGATACATTTCTTGGTGGGATAAATACTAGTTCTGTTACCATATTGTGGGCAATGTCAGAGCTGATCAAGAATCCAAGAGCCATGAAGAAGGTACAAATCGAAATTACAAGTTCCGTTGGAAAGAAAGCAAAGGTGGAGGCAGAAGATGCTGCAAAACTAAAATACCTAAAAATGGTGGTTAAAGAAACCTTCAGGCTGCATCCTCCAGCTCCCCTGTTAGTCCCACGCGAGGCAGTGCACCAATGTAGAATTTGTGGTTTTGATGTGTTTCCCAAAACAAGAATCTTTGTTAATGTATGGGCTATTGGGAGAGATCCAAATTTGTGGGAAAACCCCTATGAGTTTTACCCCGATAGGTTCGAGGACAATGATATTGACTTCAAAGGAACCAATTATGAATTGCTGCCCTTTGGAGCTGGTCGAAGAATTTGCCCTGCTTTGGCCATGGGTATTACAAATGTGGAGTTCGCACTTGCCAACCTATTGTATTGTTTTGACTGGGAATTGCCTGGTGGGATGAGGAGGGAAGATATCAGCATGGAGGAAGAAGGTGGGCTTGTTTGTCACAGGAAGACACCCCTTGTTCTTGCACCAATTAGATATTGTTTGCAAGATTAGATAGAACTCTAAGATTCCAAGATACTAATTATGTTTTTCTATTCACCTTTAGCTTGTTCTTGTCGTTTATATGTACTCTGTTGACCTTAGCAGCTTCTGTCTTTCATAAGTGTTACTCTCTACGTAGAGATTGAATAAACAAAGATGCCTATAACATCAATTTTAAGTTGTGAAAAACTTCTTCCAGTCACATGCTTGTTCAATCCACAACGAAATATGGGAATTCACAATTGAAAAACCCAAAGAACAAATCAAGAAGAATGAAATGCATAAAAAGCCTTTCCCTTCCTGAATCTCTTTGCAGTTCTTAGTACTACAGCAGGCTTAGCATGGCTACGACAACTTTTGTTATTGACCTTAAGCATCGCCCCACCATCTCCAACAACATTCTCCATTGAGCCAGTTTTTCATGGCAAACTCCAACAACTCCGTTATATCGTCTCCTAGAAGGTAGCTATATTCTCCGAAATTCCATGCTTAATACTGTAGAAATAAAAATGTACAAGTGAAAAATGAATATGAAGTCAAGATTCAACTCGAGCTGACATAAACATGAACTTGAGATTTAAAGAACATGCACTGAGCTGTCCAATGGATTTATGGGAAAGCGGCCAGATGCCATTTTTCATTTCAGGAATGGGTTCACAATCTGTGGAGTTGTACCAACATATTGAAGTGAAATGTGCAGCATGGTTGTGAATGGATTTTATGTAGGTGGTGAGTGCTGCTTATTAGTACCAGAATTGTCATGGGTAGGTGATGATGTTATTTAAGTTGTAAGGAAAGAGAATTGTGTACACAGTGTATTCCCTGTACTCTAAATTAATAATATATATTTCCTTTTTTGTTCTACGCAAAACTCGATCAACCACGGTTAACTTGCTAACTTGTGTGAAATCAAAAGGGCAGTTTCAAAGGAATATCGAATTTACAAAAATATTTCCCATAATCATGCCATAGACAGACGTCTTGGCCATGGTTTTGCTGTATCCGCTTGGCTATTTCGACCTTTGATGTCCAGGTGATGATGATTGTTGCACTGATGTGAGCTTACAAGCTAGAAATGCAAAGGAAATCTAAGAAAAGAAATGTGTAAATTTGGCTCTGAATATCATTTTAGCTATTGCAGCTCTGAAACTCAAATCATCGTAAGTGCTATTGTAGTGTACCTTTGTATCAAATGGGCCCTCAGATTCCTTTCTGTTGCAATCCTCAATCATGGTTCAATGCCCTACACGGAGCACTTTAACAGATTGAATTGGGTCATAGAGAACCCAAACTTGATCATATCCTCGTGTTCTTTCTTCTGCTTCTTGTTCAGCAAGTAAATAGGGCGCATGTAACTCAGAATCAAGAGGCCTTTATGAGTTTGACATGCTCATTCTACCGTTGCACCAGAAGAGCAAATTTGTCCAAAGGATCATCCAATGATCAGAGTAGATTTTAGTGAAATTGGACAGTGGCACACCCTCGATTTCCTACTTGGCTGTATAATTTATACTCCAAAGTAAACTAATGGTGAAGATGCAAGCATGAACGGCGAGCGCTGGCGACCTTTTAATGTGGATTAATCTTCCAATGCTTAGAAAGTTCAATGGAATTTTTGACTTGGCCAAGACTCCTAGTAGCTAGAAACTTAATTTGATGAGTACAGAGTATTAAAGCACAAGGCCACATGCACAATGCACACCTTGGCAGTACCATCTCCGAGTCGATTAAAAGTTTTATAGAAATAATTTCACATAGTAGATTAGAAATAAGAAAACAGAACCACAACCTTGCCAGCTTAAATGGAAAATCAGAAACTACATATACAATAGAAATGTTGAAGGCCTAGATTTATATGATGCTATAGTAGAAAAGACCTCAAGTTTCAAAAAGCTTTGAATCAGCAAACTGGGACTCTCTGAGCTAATCTTCTAATGGCAACCTCTTTACATATATGATGAAACCAAACTCAGAAGCCTGCTACTTATGTATCAAAACCAGTTAGCTAAAATGCTATAGTACAAACTACAAAGTAGTAATGGTATAAGGGCATTAACATAATTCTACAATTACAACTAGATGCCTTCATCCAGACAATTTGGAGTACAATTTGGAGTACAAAAAGTTAATCCATACTTTCTCTTACTCAGACATAACAATTAACCCAACTGGCCAAATATAACCACACATTACAATCCTTAATGTCAAGGCGATTTGACCTGAAACATACCAATATAATCCACAAGTGAAAGCATCAAATGAAAAACTTTATGCTTTTAGATTTATCAGTGATGGATTGATTTTTACCTTGTTAAATGAAAAACATAATGTAAAGTTGCAAACTTTATTAATGGAAACTAAAACTGCTAAACAGCATCCGATTAAATATTACAAAAACAGAAAATTATTAGTAAAATTAACACCAAAGAATACAGAGTATACCCAATAACAAATACATAAAGATCAAGTATGAAATATACCTGATCATTCCATACACATGTCACAACACATTTGGAGCTGAATCCAACACGTCCTGCAAACAGAAGTTCTCCATTGAGTCAAAACCATTGAGCAATCCATCAAAAAACCCTTCTTCCAAACAGTCCTCCCCCAATTCCAATTCCCTTTCTTCATCCTCTTCCATGGCTGCCACACCCTTTGACTTCTCCTCCTCCTCATCATCTCCAACCGCTGGCATATGCCCTTCAAACAACGCCATGTGCCCGAAGAGCTTATCCTTCCTCGAGAAGCTATTCCCGCAACTGCACTTCCATTTCTTCTCCTCCCCACCGCAATGCTTCAAATGATTCTTCAAATCCGCCAGCACAGAGAAGCTCTTCTTGTGGCACTGATTGCAAGAGTACATCTTGGGACAATGGCTCCTCTTGAAATGATTCCTCACACAAATCACAGACTTCAGCGGCCTAAACCTCTTATGCTTCTGGTTCCTGTTGCAACCCTCGTAAGGGCACGAGAACCGCGTTTTCCGGCCGAGCGAAGTCAATGATTGTTCCCATTTGTTCCCGCCCTTCTTCGCAAGCGCTTCCGGCGTCTTGTACTGATTCCCGTGTGCCCTCATGTGCATCCTCAGATTCGCATCTCTCTTGAATCCCTTCCCACAAATTTCGCAAAGATGAATGTGCTCCGCCAACAGCTCCACCGCATCTAGCTCCACTATTTCGCAGTCCTCCTCGTGCTCCTCGTCATTACCTTCATCCTCATAATCGTTATCATTTTCCTTCTTTGTTAACATCAAATCCGATCCCGACCCCAAAATGGGCGCGGAACTCATCCCTAAATCAGGCAGGCCGGACATCTTCTGAGCGCAAGAGAGGAGGGCGGCGCCGTTGACTATGATCTGCTGGATGGCGGAGGCGATCTCGGAGGACACCATATCCATCTGATCCCTGGGTAATAGAGTATTGCTGTTTACCGATTGCGATAGGAAGCTCTGAAGAGAATCCATTCTTGTTCGGACCGTGGCAAGGTTCAGGAGCGGAAGCCGAGCGTCGGCGTCCCCCATCGACTCTTGACGGACAGAAGGTCCAGCGCCGGGATGTCCCGCCGGAACGCGAACAATGTCGCCGGGATTTGGCATGACTCGGTTGTATTACGAGATGAACGGACTGCGGATTCGACTTTGATGAGTAAATTAATAGGCTCAAAGCTTTAGGCCTAAGTTTCTGTTGACCCGCGCATTCGGCGGGCACGTGTCGAATAAGCAGACAGATCAGAACGAGTCGTGGAAGATCAGCCGATGGATATATTTTAAATTATTACAACTAGGACGGTGTGCATCATTGCTGGTGACTCTAGTCTAGTGTATAGGCAGTGCATAGGTAACCGTGGACCTTTGAAGTGTAGTTCAATTAGGTCCTTAATCTTTCAATTAATATACTTGGATCACTAACATTTTCCTCATTTCCATCCATTCAAATACTTGCAACCATCAAAAGACAAGGTATGTAGTGGCTATTATCTTGTAATCTACAAGCTAGCACATATAGCATACTTAAAGCATGTCAGTTGCAAGTATTATGTCAGGGAGTACTCTTTTTCAATTAAGATATAATATGTAATGAGTTACATAAATAAATAATGATTATAATAATTTTTAATAGACATATTTGTTATGTTAAACATGTATGTATATCCTTCAACATATTCCTTTATATTAAGAATTTTCATTTATTTGATTAATTAAATTTAATGGTCGCTAGCTAAAAGAAAAATTATTGGATGTAAAAATTTATGTAATACTCCTATGCAATTACTATTTAGGAAGGTGATAAGTACATTAAGAATTATAAAAATATTTAGATTAATTATAAAAGTTTTAATGCACTTGAACTTGCAATCCAATGACATCAAATATTGTATAAATATATTTTCTCATGACAATAATTTGAATCTTCCTTTTCCGAACCAAAAAAAAATTATAAAAACT